GCTAAGACCTTGGGTAAGATCGCCCAGGGAGTCTTTCCCTCCTTGGCAGCTTGAAGATTGGCTGCCATTGTGAATGATCCAGTCACTACCCGGACAAGGAAGTCGACAGGCAACTTCAGTGGAAAGAAATGGTCATTGACGTCCTTCACCCTGGGAAGGAAAAAGTATTTAAGACAGAAATTAAAAACAAATAAACAAAAACTAGCCCAAGTTTATAAGACCACACCAGATGTTATCTTTGTGTTTGGACTCAGAACCCATTTGGTGGTGTGGTGGGAGGGGAGTGGGTGGTGCAAGACAAGCGGCTTTGGCATGATTGATCAGCCTCTGGATTGTGCAGAGAAAAGTGAACCCGGATGCAGACTTGTCAGGCGCGGCTGTACGAGAAGGAGACCTCGATGGAGGATGGCAGCCAACTGCGAAGGCCAGTGTCGGTGCTGCGAGAAGTCAGCTGGGGCCGGACCACAGGAGGAGTCAAGGTTCCTCAGTGACTTCCTTCACCTGCGGTGGCTGTGCAGACTTTTCATGAGAAGACTGATAAACTAAGAACTTAAAAAGAATATAAGATTACCCAGGGAGAGTTTACCAAAGACAAGACTAAATCCCCAAGACATAGCAATGTAAGAACTAGATGAGAGGAAGAGACCACAACTCGGAAAAGAATGTTGCTTTAAGGAGCCGGGGCAGCTTAGAAAGCAGCCGGATCTGTGGCGGTCAGGAAGGGGAGTGTTCCGCGACTGGCCCCCGCTGCAGCGAGAGGAGGCGTGACTAGAACTTGACCTCGCTCACCGGCTTGGTGGTGGGGAAGAGGTTGTGAGCCGTGCAGGAGGGCGGCGGTGCTGAAGGATGGGAAATGCTCTGTGGACGATGGGAGTAAAGACGGGGACTGTGATGTGGCCTCCCTGGAAGTCTACCTGGGGGAGGAGGGTGACAGATGGTGGCAGCTGGGGGTGGAGGGCACCCAGAAGTGTTCTATCAACATGATGGGAAGAAATGTGAAGTGCCAGGGAAGAAAATAAATGGCAAATTTGTTAGACTGGTGATCGGTACAAGGTTCTGAAGTTTTCTCCTTTCCCAAAATCTCAGTCTGGAGCCACCCTGGGTCATGCTGGGAAGGAGAGAAATTTCCCGCAAAGGTTTCAGCATCCCCTTTGCTAGTCTCCCCTCCAAGTCTCTCTTGAACACACACACACACACACACACACACACACACACACACACACGGTGGTCTTCTACCCAGGCTTGACCTCCTGGAGATGCTTCTAGCTCCCTCCTCAACAAAGCCTACCTGGTGTCCTGGAGATGCCTGTCCATTTCTTCTGTAAGTAATTTTTCCTCCTGGCTTGAAGTGTCCTGTGCAGGGAGGCAGTCATTCCAGCTCTCTGGCTTCTGCTTCTACCGGTACTTCCCCTGGCCTCTTGCACACAGAGCCACAACTGTGTGCACCAGGGTAGACACTCAACCCAAAGCAGCCAATCCCATGCTTGGCCAGTGGTTTAAATTGCCTGGTCAGAATAAATAAACTGGGCCGAGTATATTCTCTCCCTGGAGAAATTGGATTCTGAGGTGCAGCGATTGTGGGGGACATTTGAGTCAAGTCACGAGGTGCTGGCCAGTTAGCTTTTGGATGCCTGTGAGTTTCTTCAAATAGCCTTAAAACATCCCCTACTCCCTGCCACGTGAACTCCTTGAGCGAAATTCTGCTCACCTGCAACCAAAGCAGCTCGGACACCTTGACTGGACCACGAGGGCTTGTTCCGCCTTCTTTAGCTGGGCTGAGTGAGTTGCTAGCTAAGTGGTTCACTATAAACGTGATGCTCCCTTCTTCATTTTACGTTAAATGATTGCCAATGTGTATGTTGGTGTTCCTCGCAACATGAGCTTAGCAGCAGGTGGAAGTTCAGGTCTGCTGCGTGTTTCTCCACACTTTTTCTGGAACAGGTAGTGACCTGGGCTACTGACAGGAGCATCCAAGGGCAAATCAGACCACAGGTGGACATTCCAACCCTCCGCTCGCTCTGTGTCCCATAACATCCCATTGGCTGAAGTCAGTAAGCCTGAAACCAAGGTCAGGGGAGTGCTCTCCAGGTACCACAAAGGGTGGCCATCTAATTCTATTAAGGGGTAGAGTAAAGACTTGATAGCAATAATCCAACCTACTGCAGACATTATATTTGAAATCCAGACCAAAGAAGAGGGTTAAGAGGGACAAAGGAGACTGTGGCCAAGAAGCTCCACTGGTTAGAGCATCGTCCTGATACGCCAAGGTTGTGTGCTGGTCCCTCATCAGGGTACATTCAAGAAGCAACCAGTGAGTGCATCAGTAAGTGGAACGACAAATTGATGTTTCTCCCTCTCTCTCTCATCAATTAAGAGAGACAGAGGATAGGAGCGTCCCTATGAACAGCATTGGCCTCTTTAAGGAGCACATCTGAAGCTCTGACATGACCCTTCCAATGACATTTCATTGGCCAGGAACATTTTGTATAGCCATTCCCGGCTACCAGGGAGACTGGGAAGCCTATTCGTTATTCTGGGCTGCAGTGCACTCAGCTGAAGCTCAGTGTCTGGTACCAGGGCAGAAGGAGGGAATAGGGGTTTGAGTAGGCACCTAGCAGGGTCTTCCATGGTGCTCGCCAAGGTGAATCGTGTTTATCTCTCAGTGCTGGGAGGTAACCTGGTTACTTACGGTGCTCTCGGTGATGGTTTAAAGCACAGAGCTAATCAACGTGTGAATGATTACCTAGCCCGTAATTACACCCTGCTGGACTGCTGCTCTCGCAAAACATATGTTTTCTCCTCTACAGAAGTCAAATCATGTCCTAAAACAATGTATTTAAGTTTTATTTACTCCTAAAAACAGACGAGAGGGTCAGGAAGGGTGACTGTAAAGGCTTCTAAGAAGAAGGTTTTTCAGTGCACGAGGGAGCTTGCCCCAACAGGACGTTCCGGATACAGCAGTCCCCTCTCACGCAGGGGGCACGTGTGCCAGGACCCCCAGTGGATGCCTGCAACAGCAGACGGTACCAAGCCCTGTATATACTATGTCGCCTCCTATGCATACATACTTCTGATGAAGTTCAATTTATGAATCGGGCACAGTTAGAGATGACCAACAATAACGGCTAAAAACAGAACCACCACAGCAATATACTGCAATAAAAGTTACATGAATGACTTGGGGGCCATTAGTAAGTAAAATAAGGGGCCTTGACCACATGCACTGTGAGACCACTACAGTTGATCTGATAACCAAGCTGGCTACTAAGGAAATAAAGGGAGCCAAGCCTGTCTGCCCAGCGTGGTGAACTCTGGGCCAGGGGACGCAGTGTGTCTCAGGTGTGTGTGTGTGTGGGGGAGCGTCTCAGGTTTCTTCATGCTACTCAGAGCTACGCACAATTTCAAACTTACTCGTTGTTTATTTCTGGGATTTTCCATTTAATTTTTCTTTTGGACGGTGGTGGATGGTGGGTAACTGAAATCCTGGGAAGTAGACCCAGGGATAATGAGGGCCGCAGTCGGCTTTTTCTCATGGTTACCTTGTCAGGGTGGCCTCACTTAAAATAGCAACCCTCCCCACTTCCCGATCATTTTGTTATTTGTCCCAACCCTCCCGTCCCCCACCCCACCACCACTAGAAGATCATTGACTTGGAGGCAGGTCATTTGTCATTTGTTCTCTGTTGGTGGCCTGGAATTGCTGAAAATGGTTCCTGATGACCATGTCGGCCATCAGAGGAGCTTCCAGCAGAAGTTCTTTTCACTCAGTGGCTTCAGGAGGCTGTTGCAGCCATTTGTGACCCGAGGTAAGGAGTCCGGGAAGAAAAGGCAGTACGCCGGAAGTGGCCACCTGGAAGCCTGGAAGGAGTGACTGGGTCCGTAGGTGCAGTGACCGGGTCCCTGAGCAGCTCCAGCCACACCCAGCGGCCTTCTCTTGGCTACCTGTTACCTGTGAGAGCGAGAAAGACCCTGCCAGCTGGGAGCTGACCCCGAACTATCAGCTCAGCCTTGGTGTCCTGTTGGATATGGACAATGTCACAGAACAGCAACGTTGGACAAAGCCCCCCCTGGGACTTGACGGATTGAGGCAAAATCAAGACCACTGCTGTAGGCATGTCCATGGACATGTGCAGAGGCGGGCATGGCTTTTCCTGGGAGCTCATCACTCCTGCCAGCAGGGGCTGGGGAGCCAGTTGAGAATATGGCATCGTTCCCCACCCCCCAGCCCCCTCTCTGCCACTGTGAGTTGCACCCCTGGAGGCTCCACAACTGTGAGGGTCAGGCAGGAGGTGCTGGGAAGGGTATACCTGGGCCAGGGACATCGGCCGCTTTTAGGTGGCGCCAGGAAGACACAGGCTGGAGGGATGTTTTGCAGCCTGTGTCTCTCAGGCCACGGTGTGGACCAGAGTGTGCGAGGGCCTTTACATCTGGGGACCAACGAGGACGCGGGGCAGCTGCTGGGCCCAGAGTGAGTGCGGCAGTAGTGGGGGCAGGGTGGGAAGGAGGGCGTGGTGCGGGAAATTCTGGACTCTGCCGGGAGGGGTGAGGGTTGCCGGGGTGCTGGAGACCTCTTCGTCTGCGAATGAGCGAGAGCGTGGGCGAGGCGCGCGGTCAAAGCCAGACCTCGCCAGGCTCCAAGGTGGGCAGGGCAGGGAAGGAGTGCGGGAAGGCGGGCGGGGCAGGGAGAGGCGGGACTGCTGGTGGGTCCCCGGGGGCCACCTCCAGCGGCTCCCAGGCAAAGTAGTGGGTGTGAACTCACGTTCAAAGGCCGCCCGCCTCCTCTCCAGGGACCCAGCGGCGCGCACCGCCAGCCCAGCACAGAGCCAGGGAGCTGCGGCGGGCGCGCCGTTGCTAAGCCCAGCGCCCCCGGAGACGTTCCGGGTACTCCTCGCCCGCGCGGCGCGGGGCGGGCAGCGGGAGGGAAAGAGGAGAGAGGCGGCGCGGGCTCCTGGCTGCTGGCGTCGCGCCCCGCCTCCCCGCGCCCGCTGGACCGTCCGGCCGCGGCCCCGCGCTCCCACAGCAGAGCCCGGCGCTCCCGGAGCCGACCACCGCACCATGCCGGCCGCTGCGCCCACCCCGCGCCCGCCGCCGCCCCCGACGCGGCCCGCCCCGGGCTGCCCTGCGCGGCCCGCCCAAGGTAAGTGCCTTGTGTGGGGGTGGGAGCACTCCTGTGGCCCGCCCGGACTTGAGACCCCGCTCCGTGCCGGGTGGTGCAGTTGTGCCAGGCACAGGGGGGTGCCAGATACAGGGGGGTGCCAGACACAGGGGTTGCCAGACACAGGGGGGTGCCTGAGGCGCACTGTGCGAGCGCGTGCGTCTACACCACTGAAACTCGCTTGCTCGGGGATAGTGCTGTCCGGAGCTGGTTTCCAATCCCTCTCCAGCCAGCAGGGCCTTCTTAAGAAACGCGTGGGCATCTTGCGAGGTGCGGGGGACTTCAGAGGAGGGAAAGCACTCGCGAGGGAGCTGACATTTACTGAGCATCTCAACCTGCCCGATGCTGTCTCTAAAGCCGGCCTCATTTTATTCTCTGCACAAACCTGTAGGGAAAGTGGAAGTATCCGTGTTTGTCACCCGAGAAAACGGAGGTGCCCAGAGTCTAGGCTTGCTCAAGGCCACATGGCTTGATAGCGGTGGGCCTGGGATTTGAACCCTGATCACCAGAGCTCACTGACCCAACTACAGGACAGGAACCTCTCCTTGGTACTAGATGAAGAAATACACAGAGGATCTCAAGACAAGCAGGAAAAAGCATTTGGGAATTAACAACAACGAAATGATTTCGTGAAATATGCCATCAATCAATTTCAAATACAGGAGCGCATTCACACTGCCTCCTAAGTCTGGCTCGGGGGTGGTGTTGTGAAGCAGGGAGAAGTCCACAGGGTGCTGGGCAGAGGTGTCTGGGGACACCTTTTCAGAGTTTCCACCTGTTGGGAGTGGGGGGTGAGAAGTTGTGGAGGGAACTCAGTGGTTATTCATCCCCAAGTTAGTCATCCGTCCACTCCCCGTCCCCCCCTCCCCCGCTCCATTCCCTTCTTTCCCTGACCTGTGGTCCAGGATGACAGCTGTCAAACTCAAGCCGAGTCCTGCCTTCATCACTATCTTTCGTGGAGGGTTTTGTCGCTGGAGGACCCTGTGCTCGGATGGCTGTGAGGGGCTGTGACTTTGGTCCAGGCCATTGCTTGCAGGGCTGAGCTCTTGGGCCAGTGCTGAGCGAACACAATCACGGTCAGTGCGATTTCTGCAGCAGCAGCAGCCAAGCGGGTGTGGATCCTTTGAGGACAGCAAGAAATGGGCCCAAAAATGTGAAGAAGGGAAAGGATGTTGGGTTTGCCTGGCAGCCCAACTTCAGAAAAGCATTTCAGGTGAATATTTGGATGGCTTTGGATGGTGCCCTAAAATGTTTCACTGGAGAAAAGACAGGGAGGCATAACAGGGTTTTGGAAAGATGCTCAGTGCCTCATTGCATTTGGCTTTGGAAGGTGCTAGGGTCAGAGTCGTTGATGGTGAGCTAGAAGTAGTGCAAGAAGATAAGGATCCTCGCCTAAGAACCCCGCGAGGCTTCAGAATGACAGAGATGGAGTCTTCCCGTTATTGTGGCCAAGATTTTGGCAAAACTTGGAGGGAGAAATTTTGGACAGTGGACTGTCCTAGGTGCTTCTGTGCTACACTGTATTCCCTCCGAGACCTTCCCCATCTTTGTGTGCGTTGGTGCCCTGGGTCCCAAATGCCAGCCCCCACTCTTAGTGGGAGGGTGACCTTGGGATGCTGGAGTCAGCTTGGTCTTGAGGAAGTGAGAGCAAGGAGTGCCTGGGAATTGACACCTCCCTTGGGGGCAGCCCTTGGCCAAGGACTGGGAGGTGCTGGGGTATAAATAGTCCAGCTCCCTTCCCCTTGGCTGGGACACGGTGGCGTGATACGCTTGTTCTCCAGAGACCCGCCGTGCAGCTGTGTCAGTTGACTTCCGTGGGTCTTTGCTGGGCTTGCGTTTCTTTCTTCTCTCACTTCTTCATTCTCTACCAGTTTTTCCTGGTAACACTTACTAATAAAACATTTTATAGGGATTTTCATTGCAAGACCTGATTCTAGAGAACCCAACAAAAAACATGGACCCTCTTGCATTTTTTTTCTCCCCAGGGATCTGAGTGACGCTCCATCACTGGTCATGGGCAGCCCGGGCTGGCCCCCAGGGTGCCTTTGTGAATTCGCCCAAGGTGCCTCCTTCCGAGCAGATGGAGCCCTCTGCCCAGGCACAGGTTTAGCAACCAGGGAGGGGTGCAGCGTCCATTAGCCACCTCATCTGGGTGCCTTCGGTGGTACACACAGTGCCCAGCAGAGGGGTGGTACAGGGTTTGGGCGCTGTGCTCAGAAAAGCAAAACGTAGTTGGTACCCAACTGCTCTGAGCCTCCGAGTTGCTCAGTTGTCCCAAGATCTCATTTCTTGGCTTCTCTCATCCTTCTTTTTCCCAGTTCAAGGCGTTTCCTAAATGTTTTCCTAAATATTTGACTATTACAGGCACATGTTTTGCTTTCCTCTGGTGAAATGTTGAACTAGTTAAAGGTCTTAGCTTCCTTCTAAAGCCAATAAGGGGATGGAAAAATGCTGTCTTGACCAGTGGACCCAAATACCCCGACTGCAGGGGTTGGTGGTACCTGGTCAGGGAAGGCGGGCAGCTCTCCACCCACCGGGCCTTCCAGTGGCTCTGCCTGGTTCTGGGCTTGCTGAGTCGGGTTCAGATGGGCTGCTGTAGCCAGAGGCTCTTTCCTGATGAGGTTCCCTTTCCTTGCATCCATGGGGCCATTTTGTCTGGTATCAGAGTTCCCCTGTGTTTTCTTTGGTGGCCTCTGGTTAGTGTCTAAATTTGGCCCATCTGGTGGTAAAGCAGAGCCCCTTTTGAAGATGCACATGTTGGGGAGTCCTTTGAAAAGGGTGTTTCTTTTTCAATTACCTGTTATTATAGGTCAGAAGAAGGAAATACAAGGAGAGTGGCAGAGTGGGGAAGAAATCTGTCCTGGGAATCAGGGAGCTGAGCTCTTTCCCCAGAGATCTGAGGTTTCCTGGTTACCTGGGGGCAAGTCATTGACTTCTCTGGGAACCTTAGTGTCGTCACCTTTATTCACTTAATAATAATTGTCCAGCCAAGCTCAGAGGGTTGTTTGATGATCAAAGGGGATCATTGTCTCATCAAACAATTGTCTGAGCAAGCCCATAAAGCCCGTATCCAGGAGAACTGGCAGTCTCTCAGGGACAGTGGTGTCTGCGTAGGCGTCACGGTGTAGGTAGTGAGTGAGGAAGAGAGCCAGCGCCAGTGCAGTGGCTGGATGAAAGGGCAGGGAGGTCTCCAGAGCCGCTTGGGCTGGTCTTGCAGGCTCAGGGCTCACAGGACTTTGTAAGTGGCAAGGTGCCATGTGGTGTGTGTTTATGGGGGTTGGAGCTCTTGAATCCATCAGATCTGCCTTCACATGTTGGCTCTGAAATTTCAAAGCTGTGTGATTCTGGGCAAGGTACCCAACAGCTCTGGGCCTCAGTTTCCTATTGATAAACTAGGCACGATCATGTTCTGAGAATTTAGTGGTGTAAAGCTCTTAGAGGATGTTATTACAAGTGTAAAGTTACATCGTAGGCTGAAGAGATTCTGTCTGGGTGCCTTGGGTTAGCGCTTCTCAAATATTAGTCATACGAATCATCTGGGGATCTTGCTAACCTGCAAATTCTGATTCAGGGGGTGTGGGGTGGAGCCTGAGGTTCTTCCTTTCTCACTAGCTCCTTGGTTCTGTAGGTGTTGCTTGTGCGAGTACAAGGTGCTAGGCCACTCCTCCTAGGTAAAGTCTGAGTCCTTTGTGGGAACCGAAGGACACTGTGTTTGGAGAGATGATGGGGATTGTTCAGGCCTTTTTTGCAGGTCTGGCCTGGGGCTGGGGCAGAGGCAGCTGGCACTGGCTGCTGTTGAGTAAGGTGTTCCCTTTAGGGGGTAATGGATCTAACCCAACTTCCTTCAAGTGCCTTAGGACCAGCCCCGCTGGAGGAAGCTTGTCCTGGCCAAATGATCAAATGCTGTCTACTTCTCCTGCATGCTGGCCTTAAGGGTGTAGAGATGAATAAGTCATTGACCCTTCTCCAGTGTGACCCTTGGGGTGAGTGGGGAACAGGTGTGTAAACATGGTAAGATAAGCATTCTGCAGAGTTCCTGGGTAATGGTGATGGGGGTAAGAGGGTTGAAAAAGAGAGGAAGACTTCCAGGTGGTGGTTATATCTAAACTGGGTTTTGAAGGATGAATCATGGTGGCAGAATGGGGGAGGAGAGTAGAAGTATATGGGGAATGGCATTCCAGGATTAAGGAAGAGCATGTGCAAAGGTCAGCTGTCTTGAAACAGCTGGGTGTGTTCAGATCCTTGAACTAATAGTTATTTGGAGCATGGGGTATGCTGGAAGGGGCTTAGACAGGGAGGCAGTTCCAGATGATGTATTAGTCAGCATAGGCCAAGCTCTGCTGCAGTAACAAATCAACTTCATTATACTAGTAGCACAGGGCAACATAGGTTACTTCTCACTCACACTGTGTGTCCCTCATAGGTCAGTGGAGGGCCAAGTTGATGCAGCTTTTCCCCAGCTTGCAGGTATACCTTTTGGAGAATGTGGTCTATGTAATCACCCACATTATGAAGAGGTATTGGGAAGGTTGCTCTCTGGCTGTTCTGTGCTTCAGTCTGGAACTGCTGATGCCCACGGCCCATTGGCCAGAGCTCATTGTGAGGGGCTTAGAAAATGATGGGGTTGTGGATGGAAAGCTCAGAGAACATCACTGTCTCTCCCACACATGCCTTGTTATGGACCTTAAGTCTCACTGGGAAGGCCAGAGTTTCTCAAATGGGAGTTGTATGTGGATTCCTTTAAGGAAAAAAAATCTTGTAGATTCTTAGTAGTGGCTTCAGTTATTTTATTATAATACAATTCAAATGTGCAGGTAGCATTCAGTAGATCTAAACTCCTTATGTACAGAGCTTGCCTGTGGCCATAAAACCACAACGAATGTGTAAGTAAAATATCAACACAGCTGCCAATGGAGTAAATCCAGGTGAACTGCGTGAATTTAATGTGATGGGTGAGGTCATTTTTGCTAAAAATGAAATCA